GTAATCTCTAATTTATAACCAAGACTTGTATTATATTACTGAATAATTAAAAACTTACCGGTATATAAAATTTGTTTATAATATAAACTTTATACTAGTGTTCAATAACGGTGTTTAGAGTCAATTAAGCCTTAATATATTTAGACTATTAATATCCACCTTTATACCGTAAATGTCAAAAATAACTTATTCAAAATAAGTATTAAATTAGTATAATTTATAAAATGCCATAAGGAGACTGTATCTTACAGTTATATAGTAGTACACTATTGTATCGTTAAAAAAAATTCGTGAGTCGTTCACAAATAAAAACTGGCAGTAATTATGGAAATGTGCGGTAATTTTCTTAACAAAATACCGCAAGTTTATAGAGGGAAAGTAAACAAAAATCTTAAGTACAGTATAGTAATTATAAGCAACAAACTTAAAAATCAAAAAATCAGAATTTTTTTATTAAAAAATAAACACAAATATTAATCGAAAAATATACAGTATTGTATAACTAATAAAATATAAAAATACCCAAAACCTGGTCAACAGTATGTCCTAAATGAAAGCAAACTAACAGTATTTATTGCACTAGTGGTCACTTAGTCTTATGGCAAGCGGTGACGGAAGTGTTGCCCAAAACCTTCTTTCTCTGAGCAATCATATAGAGGTATAATTGAGGGAAAACTGAAACACAAATCAATTAGTAATCGACAAAAAAGTCCAAAACAATTAAATTGCAATTATTATATGCATTGATACTCACAGGGAATGTACGACAAGATTACAATTACCAGCAAATAGTGGTAATAGAAGGAAATGTTGGCAAAGTTAGGCAAATGTATGGCCCATAGGTTGCGGTGACGGATGTAGGGGATGGCAGACACGATGGTTATGAGTTCGCCGGACACACCGATCGGGTAGAGGACTATGAAGAGGGTATACCGGAGCCAAGTGAGCACATATGGCACCAGATTGTAGATATTGAGCGCGTAATACAGATAACGAGTCATCTCTGCGATAGACCACGCGATCAAAAGCATCGGTACTCCTAAGCCATTGCGCGTCTCAATCACCGGCAGAAGTATACCCCAAACCACCACTAATCGGGACAACACTTGGATGAAGGTCTGGAAGGCGTTGGACGGCACCAGACGGACCACACAGTGAACCACTTCTATGAGTTGCAGTGTCTGGAAGATGGACACAGAGGTCTGCACCGAGA